TGCATGTGAATATTTCATACAAAAACAGCCATATTGGTTCAACAAATAACTAATAGAGTTAAACAAAAACAAAAATAAAAATCTCTGGTTCATATTTAAAGTAAGTGGTTTCAAACATGATTTGAAACTTAAATACCTGGAAACAAAAAAGTAAGTAGCAAGGGAGGTAAAACGAGCAGTATTTGAGTACGAAAAAAAATTAGCCGCGAAATCAAAACCAAAATTGATTTATTCTTACATTAACAAAAAATGAAGCATCAAAGTTGGTATCAAAACTCTCTTGGATAATGATGGAAATTTGATTAATGAAGCAAAATTGCTGAAATGTTTAATCTAAAGTTTCACGAGTCTTTATGCAAAGAAAATTTAAATGAGCTTTCAGAATTTCCGATACAAACTAACGTCAAATGTGACGATTATACTGATAATATTTTTACATTGGAAGTGGTTAAAAAAAAAACTAAGATAATTAAACAAACATAAATCATGTAGCGTTTACGGAGTTCATGCTCATGTACTATCGAGCTGCTTTGATTCATTGTCTAACCCAATTCAGTTCTTATTTAAGTTATCGTTTAAGGTATAAGACCCCTCAAAATTCTTAAAATATTCAAAAAAAAGTTCTTTCCTTCAACTGGGTAAATTTAATCTGCTTAACAACACGCATAACAACGGTTTTATTTATAAGAATTGCCAGCTTGCTATTTAGTTATTTTTATATTATTTAATAAACATTTTTATAACAATGGGTAAATCATGCAGAGTCAAACAAAGTACTCAAAGTAAAAAATCCAGAAGATTTCATGGAAATAGGTATACCAAAAAATTGGCAAATAATTCAACTTTATCAGTAGCTCCTGTTAATAACAGTGTTACCTGTTCTGAAACCCTATTTTCAATAATATTTCATTAGATTTATCTATATCCTCAAAAAAAAAAAAATGAAAATATTGAGACACATCAAAGTAATAATAAAACTGTTGGTTATCGTATTATTGATATTGAAATTTTATCTGATGTAATAAGTCAATTATGTTGCAAAAATTTTTTACAATCTGGAATATATCTTGCAGAATGTTTTCCTAAGAAAAAAGGATTTAGCTCGATGTTGAATGTATGCTGCCCTAATTGCAACAAAAAAATTGAATTTTATACTTCAAAGACATGATTTTATACTTCAATTGCTCTGGGAAATAGTTTTTTGATGTAAATAATAGAATTGTTTATTCTATGCGTGCATGTGGTCAAAGTTATTCAGGATTAGAAAAATTTACCTCTTTAATGAACATTCCTGCACCAATGACTAAAAACAATCAGAACAAAATAATTAAACATGTCTCTGATTGTGCTAAAGTTGTCGCAAAAAAAATGTCTGAGGCTGTTAATGACATTTGTCAATCTTGTTCTAAATTTGTTGATACAGCAGTATCAGTTAATGGCAGCTGGCAACGACGTGGATTTTCTTAATTAAATGGAGTGGTTACTGCTATATCAATGGACACAGATAAAATTCTTGATTGTGAACCAATGAGTCGATCATGTAAAGCATGTAGTTCAAAACTAAAACTTAGAGAAAATAACCCAAATGCCTTTGAAGCTTGGAAATCATCACATCTATGTAAATTAGATTATCGTGGCTCTGCTCCTGGAATGGAAGTAACTGGCGCTCAAAGAATATTTAGCTGATTTATTTCACAAAATAAACTGTGGTATATAAAGTATTATGGTGACGGTGATTGTAAAAGCTATTCGTATGTTAAGGATACTTATCCTGGTATAAAAGTGTGTAAGTAAGAGTGTGTTGGATATGTACATAAAGGTGTTGGTAGCAGATTGCGAACTTTGAAAAAAAACGTAAAAGGACTTGGAGACAAAGGCAAATTAACAGATGCTATAATTGATAGCCTACAAAACTACTATGGAATTGCTGTAAAGCAAAATGCCAATAAATTAAAAGGTATGAAAAAAGCCATACTTGCAGCATTGTTTCATGTTGCATCATTGCTGAAAATAATTGGAATGCTCATTGCCCAGATGGCATCAATAGTTGGTGTCGTTATAAACAGGATAAAGCTAATTTAACATCTACCTTCAAGCCAGGTGCTGGCCTTTAATCTCAGTTGTCAGTCATCTAAAGCCCATGTAGATTTATCTCAAGAAGAACTCTTAAAAAAATGCCTTCATGGTACAACCCAAAACCAGAATGAAAGTTTTAATAGGATGATATGGCAGCGCATACCTAAAACAAAGTATATTTTATTAACGCATTTGGAGTTAGGGGTTTATGATGCTGTTTCAAATTTTAATATTGAAAGAAAAGCAAGCATACTTTTATTTGAAAAGTTGAATATGATTCCTGGTATATATATACTCTCTAAGGCTGTTTAACCATGAACAAAAAGCGTTTAATTTTTGTAGAATATTACAATCAGATTACATCTAAAAAGCGACGAAAAGTTATTCGTAGATGCAAAAAAAAAAAAAAGATGATGCTGATAATAAGCAAGAAGGTTGTCTTTATGACCCTGGTTCATGTTCATATAAATAAAAGTTTTTAAATTGAGTATATGAGTAAAAATTTTATGAAAAGTTATGAATATAATATTCAAACGAGTTTTTCTCAAAATGTAAAATTTTGACCTCCCGGCCATCATATCTGATTAACCATAAGTCAAATTTGTATGAAATATTCACCAAATGTTTATTGCTTCTAGTTGTACAATTGGAACTAAAGGTTTTGTATTAAAATTAAGAGTTTTTGATTTATAGAAGTTTTAAGTTACAAAAAAATCATATTTTTTATACGCCATTTTGAAAATTTAATTATAGGTCAAGTGCTAAGTTTTTTTAAATAATTTCAGTTCAGCTTGTAGGTCAATATGATTTTAACCATATGCCAAAAATTCATAACCTACATGTATTCGGTTACTGAGATAGCTTGGCCGGGGTAACTTAAATATTTTTGGATGTTGGCCATTTTACTTGGTAGCCATGACAACTAATAAATTTATTTTGTATCTGTTATCTAGTTGTTTCTCATGATAGAATTGATTTTTTGTTAAAAAACTTTTTTTAATAAATTTTTTTTGAGGGGTCTTATACCATAATAGTGGTAAAATACCGGAATTATGGAGACTAGCTAATGTTACGCCAATTCTCAAGAGTTAATCTCATTCGGATGTTTCAAATTACAGACCCATTTCCATAACATCAGTGGTCTGTAGAGTAATGGAGAGAATCGTAAATGACAAAATAGTAGAAAATCTTTCAACACATAATTTAATATCAAAGGATCAACAGGGTTACGAAAAAATCATGCACAACAAACTTGCTTGAATTATTTGATTTAATTACAAAAGCTACCGACAACGGCATTCTAGTTGATTTAATATGTAAAGACTTCAGTAAAGCATTCGATCGAGTACCACACACACGACTTTGTTTAAGAAAATTAATAGCATACGGAATAGTAAATAAGATGCTGAACTGGATAATTAACTGTTTAAAAGATTGAAAACAATGTGTCATACTAGGAGATGCCACTTCAGACTGGCTTCATGTGCTTATTGGGGTTCCTCAAGGCTCGGTTCTAGGGCCATTACTGTTTTTAATTTTTATAAATGACCTGGCATCACAAATCAAAAATAATCCAAAATTTTTTGCAGATGACACAAAAATGATTGGAATCATAAAAGATAAAAAACGATTTGATCAGTTTACAAAATGATATTAACATTATATCAAAATGGTGCAAAACATGGCAAATGTCTTTAAATAAGAGCAAATGTAAAATAATTCACATTGGGAAATTGAATCTAAAGTATAATTATAAGGTAAATGGGCATCAATTATTAAAGGTAGAGTTTGAGAAAGACCTAGGAATGGTCATCAACGCTGACTTAAAGTGGGACCGGCAAATCCATTACGTAAGAGCAACGTCAAACCGTATATTGGGTCAGCTAAAAAATTCATTCAAATACATTAACGTTACAACTTTTAATATGCTCTTCACGTCAATGGTGAGGCCACATCTGGAGTACTTCAGTATGGAATCCTAATATATTAAAAGATATCAAAGCAATTGAATCAGTCCAAAGAAAGGCAACTAAACTAGTCTGAGAAATTATTGGTAAAACATACGAGGAAAGGATCCGCTGCCTTGGTCTGACAACACTGGCAGAAAGACAATTAAGAGCAGACCAAATACAACAATTAAAAATTAAAAATGGATTGAATAAAATAAACTTATATTCTAGTTTAATCCAAGAAAAACACAATCATGACACAAGACAACAAAACTTTTTAACCAGAGAGCAAAACAAGTATAATATCCTGTACAACTTCTTCACAAACAGTATAGTTAAACAATGAAATCAACTTCCAGTATACACTCAAACTCAAAAATAACAAACATTTTTAAAAACAGTTATGACAATTGATAAAAAATGCATATTCACAACTACCATAAACGGTCATTATATACCCATTTCTCACGACAATGTCGTTTGATAATAGTAATAATAAAAATAAAAGATATCATTGTCACTATATTAAAAGATCTCATTGCGATTGATGGACTTTCATTTAGTACTGTTGCTTAAAGTAAGAGATTACAAGAAATGGAAGCTAACAATATGAGATTTAGCTTAACTGTTGATGACACACTTCAATTAAAACGCTTCGTTATATGAACATTAATTTGCACACAAATGGAAGTCTTTTTAATCTTGGCCTTGTACGTGTTGTTGGGAGTATGCCATCTGAAAAAGCGGTTCAGATAGTGAGTGAAAGGTTGAAAGAATTTAAACTAGATTTTTATAATGATATTGTTAGTACAACTACAGAAGGTGCATCTGTTATGGTTGAAATTGGACGTTTAATTAAGCCATTAAATCACATGTTATGCCCATGCAATCCATTTGGCAGTAAGGAATGTACTCTATGTAAAACCTAAACTTTGGACGAGAACGATATTATTGATGATGATGATTGTTGTGTCGTTAATAAAACACTGTACTATACTTAAATACATATATTCTTATAAGTAAGCCATCTTTAATATACATTTTAATATAGCCACGTATGTTTATATATATAAAAACATTGTTCCTATTTGTCCGCATATGACTAAGGTTCACGGCTTCACATCCCTGAAACGTATTGGCTTTTGCTCCCTTGTCGACCGTGTTCTGCTTAGGTTCTTCTTTAGCAACACGTAGTTCGGACATATCAGATTTATCACTATTGCATGGATCGATTTTCTCATTATTGATATGATCATACCGCATACTGTCTTCATTATTCATAAGTATACTAGGCTCATTTAGGCGTTTGTTTATTTGGTCACAGTGTGCTAATGTACCCGAAGAGTTATTCGTTAATATGATCGCAGTGTTTAGACCTGCCTGAGAGATGAATGAGGCAGGTTCAGGTTTGGACTCTGGTCTTTTGCGGTACCATAAAGGTGTTCCACTTTCGAAACTCATGGTGAGAGGGGATCTCAACTGCCTTCCCATCATCTCGGAAAGACTCCTTGATCTTCCTGCATGAGATATTGTTCTGTAACTTAAAAGCATTCTGCTTAAATATCCACATAATAAACCTTTGTCCGGTGAATAAGCTCTTAAACCCATCTTAACTGTCTCTACCATTCTTTCAGCTGCTCCGTTAGATTGAAGATAGTATGGTGGAGTCTTATAAGGTACACAACCTATTTTCTTTAGCCACTGGTGTAAGGTGGTATCATGAAATTCTGCAGCATTTTCGGATACTAAAACCTCTAGAACTTCATTTCTTGAAAAAACACTTTGTAGTACTGCCTTTACAGTGGTCGCTTCACGGTTATTTACCTTAATAACTTCCGGCCATCCAGAAAAAGAATCTACTAAAATCAAAAACAGTCCGATATCCTGTACATGTGCATGATCCATATGTACTCTAAATCAAGGTTTATTTTCACTTGGCCATATAGGTAATGTCATTTCCTTCTTCACTTTTATTTCGGCTCATTTTTCACAGTTTTTCACATATTCTTCAACATCTTGACAGTAGCCAGGCCACCAGGCTTCTAATTTTAATCTACATCGCGTTTGCATTATGCCACAATGTATATCATCATGGATCGATTTGATAAAGATCTTTCTCATTGTCTTAGGAGGTACAATGAGGTCACCATTACACACATTTCCTTTTTCGATAGTTAGTTTATTCCTAATAGATTTATAGGGTCTTTCTGTTACCGAGCATCTGCTCCAATTATTCTTCCTAATTCTGGTTTTGATATCCATTAATACCCTATCATTTTCTGTTTCTTTTATTATTTGCTCAAGGTTCACTATATCTGACTCGACTAAGTGTATAAATGTTTCTTGGTCTTTCTCTTCATCTTGTGGTAGAAAGGACAATCTTGATAATGCGTCAGCATGAGGAATGTTTTCTCCCTTCTTGTAGCTTATTTCGTAGTCAAATGCCATCATTTGTATGGCCCATCTTAAAATTCTAGCGGATGTGACTTTGGGCAATTCTTTGTTACTATCAAATATAAATTCTAATGGCCTGTGATCTGATATTAATTTGAATTTTCTACCTAACAGAAAATGCCTAGCTCTGTGAGCAGACCATACAATAGCTAAAGCTTCTCTCTCAATATTAGAATATCTTGTCTCAGCGTCTGATAAAGTTTGTGAGAGATACAATACCGGATGGCCATTCTGTGAAAGTATTCCAGATATAGCTTTCTCACTAGCATCTGTTGTTAACTCTAAATCTTGGTTGATGTCATAAACTTTTACTACGGGTTCTTCACAAAGGTTTCTTTTTAGCAATTCAAATGCCTGTTGATGCTCTTTCCTCCATTCGAATGTAACTCCTTTCTTTCTTAAATTGTTTAAAGGTAAAATTTTTTCAGCATATTTATCAATGTGTCGACCATAAAAGTTTATTAATCCTATAAATGACTCGAGTTCCTTTTTATTATTAGGAGGACTTGTTCCAAGTATTTTGCTGACTAAATTACGATCTGGGGTAACGCCTTTTTCTGACAGTTCATATCCTAAAAATGAAAGACTTTTCGTTTCATTCACTGACTTTCGTTTATTTATGCTCATTCCCGATTCTTTCAATTTGCTTAATATTTTATTTAAATTCGATTTGAGTTCTTCAGCATTTTTAGCACCGACACATATATCGTCTTGAAATATAATCATATTGGGAATAATATCGCCAACAACAGATTCTATCGCTCTTTGAAATATCGCACTTGCAGTCTTTATTCCGAAAGGTAAACAGGTCCATCTTAATAATCCAATAGGGGTATTAACTGTTGTTATTTCTTGTGCCTCTTTGTCCATCTCAATTTGATGATAAGCTCCCTTGAGATCAATTTTAGCAAAATATTTCATCCCTGCCATTTTATGAAATACGGTCTCAATGTTTGGGATGGGATATGAGTCTGAGCATATTTTTTGGTTAACACGTATTTTGTAATCCGCACAAATGCGTAAATTTCCGTCTGTTTTTCTAACAACCACAAGCGGTGAAGCCCATCTGCTTCCACCAGGAGGAACCCTTTGAAGCAACCCTTGCTGTATCATTCCATTAAGTTTATCTACCACTAGTGGTCTTATGTGAATAGGAAGAGGTCGAGATTCAAAATAAGTTGGTTGTATGCCGTTTTTTAACAGAATATTTGCTTTGTAATTAATTAAACGCCCATGAACAAGAGGTTCTATACTATTAACTAATTTTGTAGCGTTGATATTTAATACATCCATACCAATTAGACCATGATTTTTTGTACAGTCTGCAACAATAATTCGTACGATATTCATTTTTGATTCGGTTTCCAAAGTTGCCTCAAATTCGCCTAGGACTTTTATAACTGTGCAATCAAACTGCTTCAGGCGAAGGTAGCAATTTTGTAATTTCGGTTTAGACATTAGTTCCCAAAAATTTTTTGGAATAATTGTGACTTGACTTCATTTGTCAACTTGCATTTTTATATTGTAGTTATTAATTTTTACACTAATCTCTGAGTTTGTATCATTCATGTTAATGGAATACACACTAGCATCATCGTTCTCTACTTTCTCTACTATTTTTTCATATTTAATGTTCGCTTTGCATACGTTTTTAAAGTGGTTCAGCTTCCCACATTTTTTACAACTCTTCCCAAATGCTGGGCATTTCCTAGGTGGGTGTTGAAGGCCACAATACTTGCATTTAATCATTCTTTCTTTATTTTTATCAATGTAATTAACTGAAGGGAGGTCTATGCTGTTTTCGATGTTGTTTTGTATACTAAAACAGGATATTTGCTCCAGTTGCCTGATAAAATCAATACATGCTCCTAGTTTAGGCGATTCTCTACTCTGTATCATTTCTAGAGCTTTAACTCTCTGATCAGAAGATTGGAGACCATCAATCAGTCTCATTTGAATCAAATCATCTTCCGCACTTTGGCCATCTCTTCCCAATTTTTCGAAGTTGCAAAAGCGTGAAGCTTTGCGTAATCTTTGTGCATATGATACGATGTTTTCATTGTTTTGCTGTTTTAATGCTAAAAATCGAATTCTTTCAGCAATAATTAGTCATTTTTGAGTCTCAAATGGGACATAACAACAGTTTTAATATCATCGAACATCATATTTTCTAATTCTTCTGGATATACCATAAGAGAAATCTTTTTAACTGCTTCAATCCCTGCTTTTGCCATAAACAAATCTGTTATCTCGTAGCTACCGTTTATCTCATCTTTTAATTTCTTTGAACGTGCGGAAGCTGAAAAGCATCTAATCCATGCTTCTGCATTGTCTGGGTCATCTAAAGTCAAATCGGATCCTACTCGCAGCGCCATTGTTGTGTCGTTAATAAAACACTGTGCTATACTTAAATACATATATTCTTATAAGTAAGCCATCTTTAATATACATTTTAATATAGCCACGTATGTTTATATATAAAAAAACATTGTTCCTATTTGTCCGCATATGACTAAGGTTCACGGCTTCACAATGATAATAATGGTAGTGAAGATGACAGTGAAGAGCTTAATCAAAGTGAAGATCTAGGCTACATTGAATTTGAAAATAGTTCACAAGAACCTTCTGCTGATAAAAATTATTTTTGAACTTTAAAAAATGTTCGCACAATAATAAAATTGTTTAAAGAATCACCTGTAAAAAATGATGATATGTTGCAGAAGCATGTAAAATTAGAATTCAGACATGAACTTAAACCTATTTTAGACTGTAAGACAAGTTGGAACTCATTATTTGATATGGTTGATTGTTTTGTCAAGTTAAGCAAATGCTTTAAAATGGCTTTTATCGAAGTACAGTCTCCATTAACAATATCGGATTCAGAGCCGCAAATTCTTAAAGATTTAGCTTTAAGATAAGGCTTTAAAACCTGCAAAATTAGGAGCCGAAGCACTTTGCCGTCGAGACTTAAATTTGCTTACTGCAGAAAAAATTTTTAGTTTTGTTTTAAATGAACTACAATCATATGATTCTGACATAAGCAAGGTCTTATATGAAGCATTAAAAACAAGAATTTTAAGCAAAAGAAATCCTACTTTGATTCACTTTATGGAATATATAAACAAACCTAGTTTTTTATTATCTGGTATATTAGATGCTTTTGGAGAAAAACCCAAACAAAAAGCAGTTGTATTGCTAGCTAAAGATCTTTTACTAAGATTTTTACTTCAAACAGTTGAAGAAGAATGTACAGAAGATATTGAAGTTGATTCTGAAAACACAGTAGAAGAAAATTTAGATATCAAAATACAGTTAGAAAAAGATATACAAAGTGAGTTAAAACAAGATTTAATGAAGATATCAACATAAACTTTCTCAATAATTTAAAAAAAGTGTGTTTGTATCAACAACCAAAAACAGCAATTTCAATTTCAGCAAATGGTCCATCTTCAAACATTAGAGGACATAAAGCACGTGTAGATATTGAGCTGATAAAAAGAAACAGATCAAGGGAAAATTATTTTACAAATAGAGTTGCAAAATAGTGGAATAAACTACCAAAAGAAATCATCTCCGCGAAAAGTGTAAATATCTTTAAGGACAAGTTTGATAAACATATGGTTGTTATGAAACTTTGATCTCTATGACTATTATGAAACTGTTAATAGCAATGGCTCATAATAGATTCAACATGGCGTTAAACCTCAAGGAGCATAAATAAATAAAGAGTTTTCTGTCTTTGATTCAACAAAAAAACGTACTTCAAATTTAGAGACTTTATTTCACTGTTTAAAAAATATTCAACCAACATCTGTTGAGAGTAAAAGAGCTTTTAGTGCGTGCGGATTGTTTGTAACCAAACTTAGGAGTAGCTTAAATGATAACATTATTGATACCTTATGCTTCTTAAAAAGTTACTATAAAAATAATAGAAGTGATAAAAATTGAAACTAAAATTGATAATATGAAAAACTTCAAAGGATTTATTTCACACCATTCTTAAAATTAATAAAACCTCTTTGTGTAAAATAGGTTTTTGTTTTGCTTTTATGATAAAGTTGGATCCGGATCCAAATCCCGAATACCCGGGTAGAATCTGGAAACGGATCCTGTTTATTTTGCCAGATCCAATATGCCCTAAAAATAATATCACTTTGTGAGTTGCTTTTTACATTTTTCAGACTTCCAGTGTTCCTTTTAACAAAAGACTAAAATTTACCATTTAATTCCAATCACTTTTTTTAGCGAGACCTTGCTGATAATAAATGTCAAACGGCAATTGATAGTTGCAAAAATATAAATTGGTGAGTTAAAAGGTCTTCCAATGAATGATTCAATCTTCACAGTTGGTTTGGCTAAGTTTTTATATGTGTATAAAAGAAATAATGAATATGAGACATCAAATACTTATATTATGGCAGTATAGGACTTTTTAATGCATAAATTTCAAA